CATTATACCGGGCGGTATTCATCCTGACTTCTTAGACAGCATCGTGATAACGAAAGACCTTCATAGCTCGTGAGCAGCCTGCCTATAGACAGAAAGATTAGGCGCTTTATTAAGGAAGAGCTGTCGCCTGTTCATATATATCTATACCAGCTTTTTCATATCTATACCACTAGTCTACAATACCAGTCTACAGGTGAATCGTAGATTTTAAATCAGGGTGGTTCTAATTTTTCTCCCCTGACAACAGGAACGAAAATAAGGTCTGACTGATCTGAAAAAGAGAGGTTGCTTCTCGTTCCCATGTGTTTATTCTAACGTATTTATCCATTAAATGCCGTCGTTATTTAGGGTTCATTTGATTAAACATATTATTTGACTTGTCTTTTATTTTACTAATATTTCAACGTCCACAGATACGATGCTCGATCCCCCGGGCCTCATCAACACTCTTCCCGCGCCCCGGGCCTGCGAGCTTCGTTCCACTCAGATCCTCCCGCTCGGCTCGTCCTGCCGCGCGCCACCACCAAACTTGCTGGGGAGTACGAGTGTCGCGTGGACTACCTGCACGCACCCTCCGCCACCACCAGAGTCAGGGTCAGTGCATGCACCCTCTCCACCAGAGTCAGGGTCAGTACATGCACCCTCCGCCACCACCAGAGTCAGGGTCAGTATACGCACCCTCCGCCACCACCAGAGTCAGGGTCAGTAAACGCACCCTCCGCCACCACCAGAGTCAGGGTCAGTGCACGCACCCTCCGCCACCAGCAGAGTCAGGGTCAGTACACGCACCCTCCGCCACCACCAGAGTCAGTGTTGATGCACGCACCACGCAAGTCATGTGGATTATAATGCGTTCAGTGATTGAAACATAAGTGATGGTGGCACTCAAGTGATAGTAAAAGGAGTATATTTTGGCAATTTATTGAGTGATATAAACAAATTTATAAGTCGAACAGAAGCAAAACATTTCAAATAGACGTGAATCTTTAGGTTGAGAAAGTTAATTTAAAAGAAATGCCGGCGAAATATAAACTAAATCGTACAAATTAAACCACGAAGTTCAATTCCAATAATAAGTAAACAATAAGTTGCAAATGTGATCCTGAAATGCATGAGATTGTTTCACCCAAAATTATTTGAGCGAAAACAGCACAAATTTGAGTCAAACGAATCGCTAAGGATATTTTTGCAATATACAGAAAACTATGATGTTCATTGAATAATTGTTGTATATGTAAAACTAAGATTTATTCTAGCATATGTTATGGAAGTTGCTAAATCTGACTAACGATAAATGCCCGTTACGGTGGTTTGTAGATGAATCGACCGTTCTATACCGTTATTATTCTAGATTTCAATTGTGTTCTCGATGTCCATCATTCTAATTGATCTCATCATGTGGCATGTGGTCGATGGCAGCGATGATAAGCAGGTCATTTCGAGAACACATGCAAACATTCCGCCATTTTTAGCCTATCTTCTGGAAATGAATTTTATTCTTGTCGTAAAACTCAATCACAAGAACAGTAAAGCGACCATTATTCTTCGGATCTTCATGTCACGGGTTTAACAATCTTGGCCTGAAGCGTTTTCTTCACGTCTCGTTTCCATAGCAAAGGAATTGTTTTATTCTGGATACCATGTTATTCTGGATACCATGTTATTCTGGTTCCATGTTATTCTGGCTACCATGTTATTCTGGTTCCATGTTATTCTGGCTACCATGTTATTCTGGATACCATGTTGTATTTCAGTAAACTTATGCTTCGTATTGTGAAACTACCAGTCATAATTCAATTAGCCTTTCTTTTATATTATTCGGGATTCTTGATGCTAAATTATTTATTTTATTTCAAATAATACGTTTATATGAAGCAACGGAGCTTCGTCGAAATCAGTTGTTAAGGCGCTGAAAACATTCACTGAGCTCCCATATCAACAAATTGCGTAGAAGACATACTTATGAAAATATTTGCAGCGCAATAAAACTAAGCAAATGTCATAATGATATCTGAAATAATTTGTTGCTGCTATGTGTTCTGGTACAAAATTTTCACGATTTCCTTATTCGATTTTTTCAAATCTTTTGTTTACCGGATTAACAATTAAATTTTTCTGTAAATAAGTAATAATATTCTTCACAATTTTCTTTTTTCGATTTTCCAAATCAAATGTTTACTAGATAAAAAAATTCTGTAAATAAGTAATAATATTCTTCACAATTTTCTTTTTCGATTTTCCAAATCAAATGTTTACTAGATAAAAATTTTTTTGTAAATAAGTAATAATATTCCTATCCATTGCAGCTGAGTGTGCTGGAGCTGCCAGAGTCGCTACAGCTGCAGACGACAGACGGCCGCCTCGCGCCTCAGCTGCTGGAAACTAACGCAGGCGAAGCCTTGCGTATGATCTGTAAAGTTGTCGGGGGTGAGAGCTATTTTCGATTTTTTATAAATATAAAAAAATAAAAATATATTTTTTTTCAATAAATTACTGTAAAATTCTCTTGAATAACATGAAGATGTTGCATTTCGTAAAAGTTTGATTAATTCATTAATAGTTTAAGTTAATTTTAATTAAATAAGTTAATAATTTTAATTTAAATTTCAAATACTAATATTTCCCTACTTGTACACGAATTAGTTCTAAGTTATAGGTAATAAATTAATATTTTAGGGTAATTTTAATTAATTATTTCAAACACTAATATTTGTTAACTTGTGCACGGATTAGTTCTAAATTATAGCTAATAAATTAATTGTTTAAGATAATTTTAATTGTTAATTTCAAACACTAATATTTATTAACTTGTGCACGGATTAGTTCTAAGTTATAGCCAATAAATTAATTATAACAAATAATATAACGTATAAAAGTTTTCAGCGCCCTCAGGTCAAGGTGATGAGAGGTCACGAGAGTGATGATTACTTATGTAACGGTGCTAATGATATTTGTGTGGTCTTCAGACCATATTTATTTGACCGACCATCTATAGGAAGCACATTTGACAGACCATATATAGAGGGAACGGGACTAAAGCAGAGTTGTGAAAATATGAACGCGCACATTTTTAGGACAATTCTTAGCAATTATTTTAAAAGGGGTAGTAAAATGAGGGTCGGTCGGTATTATCTTGGTCGGTATTATTATAAGTTGCTGGCTTCTAATCCGAAAATGTAGCTGGGTTAGATATGTCCATCACATGTCAGGTTTGACGGCTTCAGTCTCGATAAGCTGTTACCTATTAACTCTATTAACTAATAATCAACTATGCTTATGTCTCGATGGGTGACTTACCTATTATGCCATCTAGCTGATAAGTAACTTTTCATCCGTCTGAATGGGCGACTTACCTATTAATCCTACTATCTAATAATCAATTACTATTCTTCTGTCTCGATGGGTGACTTACCTATTAACCCCTACTAGCTAATAAGCAACTAATCTTCCACCTCGATGGACGACTTACCTATTGATCCTACTAGCTAATAATCAACTATTCTTCCGTCTCGATGGGTGACTTACCTATTGACCCTACTAGCTTTCCAGCAACTCTGCTTCTGTATCGATAGGCGCCCTACCGATCCTATATACCGATAAAAAATCCAATACAGTTTACTATCAGAGACTTTTATGCCCATACCTTTAAGAGGATTGGCTATAAAGTAAGAGATGTCAGCGTTTTAAGTAACTTAGAAACCTGTGGTTATTAAAAAATATTTTAAGAAGCCGATGTTCAGGAAGGGCAATGTTTTGAATGCAACATAATAGACGGACGGTTTAAATGAGAAGTGTCTTGTTGAGACGAAGCTACTGCGTTCTGCATTAACACACACTAATCGACATAGTTGACGTATAACTTGGCAGCTCTTTAGCTCTTTCCTTTCCCCATAGGCGTGCCGACGCCAAGAGTGTGGTGGACGCTGGGGGACCACATCCTTCCCCAAACAATGTCTGGAGAAACTTCCCCATCCTCCGGGGGAGATCCTGCATCCTCTATAGGAATAAAGACCAGCCTCCATAAAAGGAGGCGTGCTGTTCAACCTCCACGGGAGGAAGTCAGCCCGCGAGCAACTTTCACAAGAGGCTTTAATGTGGAAAGTTATAATCCTGAGCCACGCGAAGACATCAACTTCGATCCTTTGTTACCGGAGGACGAGAAAATCGATCGTATGGAATTCACGACTTTGATTCCAAATAAATTAAATTACCCTACCGAGATGACGTACAGTTTTGTGTACGAGAAAAATCGTTCATTGTTACATGGCGTACATACGCCGTCGAATATTATACAAAAGGATTATTCAAACCAAACTCCTGTCGGAAAATTAATAGAAAGAGGCAGTGACAACTCGTCTAAATGGAAGAAAAATACATTTTCTGAAAGAATAGATTATTCTGAACCAGCATTAGATGGATTGGGTATCCCGTTGCCATTGATGCTAAAAGAAAATATTATTTTCAGTAAAAATCCCAAAAGTAAAAACGTTAAAATGAACGCAACATCTACAGATATTCATGAAATGAATTTCAAACGCAAGAAAAATCGTCGACATTTTTCCGAAACCTCCAGCACACAATCTACGTTGATGAAAAAACCCTTATTAAAGCCTGTAAGAAATAATGCATTTGCATTCGATTACGACAGCTCCCTCTTTAATGACATGCAAAACGATTATTCGCAGCAAAACCAGTTTTCCAACGACTCGTTTACGCACGAACATTACGGTCACGTGCACACTGTAGAGGGGAACGCTGACAACGTAGTGTTGGCTCCCCTCGTCATACCCGAGGTTCTGAGGGAACACCACGGCCTTACCCTCACCTGTCATGCCTCCAATGCTAATCTTACGGCAGTTTCCATGGAGGCATCAACAAAGCTTCTCGTTAACAGTGAGTATCACAGATTATTATTCAATGTTAATCTTACGGCAGTTTCCATGGAGGCATCAACCAAGCTTCTCGTTAACAGTGAGTATCACAGATTATTATTCAATGCTAATCTTACAGCAGTTTCCATGGAGGCATCAACTAAGCTTCTGGTTAACAGTGAGTATCACAGATTATTATTCAATGCTAATCTTACGGCAGTGTCCATGGAGGCATCAACCAAGCTTCTCGTTAACAGTGAGTATCACAGATTATTATTCAATGCTAATCTTACGGCCGTTTCCGTGCAGGCCTCAACAAAACTTCTGGTTAACAGTGGGTAACCAAGATTATTATTACTCCGCAGTGATGTTAAAATTTAATTAGTGCCACCTGCTTTACATTATTTTTGATTGCCTTCACTTCTATCACATCGATGGTGCAACCATTTAGATTTTTTTCATACGGAGTAGCAGATTTGTACTGAGTACAAATTTCCATTAATAATTTAAAGCATCACTATTCTATTGTAACTCTAGATAATCATTACTTGCTTGATTACTTTTGTCAGGAAGAAGAAAATACTTACACGAATTTTCCAATTGAATTAAGAAAATAGACCTTTCCTCCACCATTGCAGCGTTCCACCAATGATCAGCTGTCTCATCGTTATCGCAGTTGTCTCTTCTCTTACTGATATTCACGATTGTTTTTTTGCTATAAATTAAAAAATATATATAACTCAGTACTCACTGCAGTGATTGACAGAGAGTGCATTTTCTCGTCAACGAAAACGTGAAGTCACGGACGGACGGACAGACAGACGGACGGACGGGCATGACGAGCACAATAGGGCGTTTTCTTCATAAATGAGAAAATGCGCTAAAAACGTAATTTTTAATAATATTTATATGATTTTATTTGTAATTCGTTGTTTAGTTTTAATTTTTTATTTCTATTGTTTTATTTTATTTTGTAATTTTTTCATTTATATTTTTTATACATTTTTTATCTAAATAGTGTACTTATTTTATAGCCCCTCCGTCATGGGTTGACATCAGCGGTTCGTTGTTTAGTTTTGATTTGTTATTTTTATTTATCATTCATTTTTCTAATTTTTTTATTTGTATTTTTATACAATTCATATCTAAATAGTGTACTTATTTTATAGCCCCTCCATCATGGGTTGACATCAGCGGGGTACCCCCCACCATCACCGCGGGGGACAAGTTGAGGGTTTGGTGCTCCGCCCCCCACGCCCGCCCCTCCCCCGTCCTCGTTTGGGCCATCGCAAGGAAGGGCAAACCTGTGAGGGTACTGGCCCAGCAGGTGCGTGGTGCGTGGTGCGTGGTGCGTGCATGGTGCCTGCGAGGCTGCTGGCCCAGCAGGTGCGTAGTGCGTGGTGCGTGGTGCGTGGTGCGTGCATGGTGCGCGATGCGTGGTGCGTGATGCGTGGTGCGTGGTGCGTGATGCGTGGTGCGTGCGTGGTGCGTGATGCGTGGTGCGTGCATGGTGCGTTGGTGCGCGCGTGGTGCGTGCGTGGTGCGTGCGTGGTGCATGGTGCATGGTGCGTGGTGCGTGCGTGGTTCGTGGTGCGTGCATGGAGCCTGTTCTGTCCCTAATGTTTTGCAGGTTATTACAAACCCAAATGCACTGTATATTATTTATAGTAAAATATAGTATAATATACTATACTATATTTTAGTATGTATACTATATAGTATATATATTATATAATATAGTATACTATGTTATATATAGTAAAATATAATATAATACCATATCATCTATAGTTATATACAACAAATGTATATTAACCTATTCTATACTGGCAGGAGCTGCGGGAGAGGAACGTGTCAAGGTTTTATACTATTACTAATACTATAAATGTATCGTAAAGTATAGCTTAGTACTATAATATAGTATATATATTTGAAATGTATATTAAACTATACTATACTCACAGTAGCTGCGGGAGAGGAACGTCTCGAGGTTTTATACTATTACTAATACTATAAAGTATAAATGCATCGTAAAGTATAGCTTAGTATATATGTATATATAGTTTTAATGTATATTAACCTATACTATACACGCAGGAGCTGCGGGAGAGGAACGTGTCGAGGTCGTGGCAGGACGTGCAGGTTGAGTGGCAGGACCACGGCGCCTCTCTGACCTGTACGGCCTACAGTCCTGCGCTGCCTGCTGTCAGAGTCTCCAACTCCTCCGTTCTCAGCGTCACTTGTATGTATTGTACTTCATTCATACGCATTCATTCTACATTATCTATTATATATTATATTATTATATAATATATTTATTATTATTAAATTTTATAATTATAATATTATTATATTATTTGCGTAGCGGCTTGTTCTTCATTCATATTCACACATGCTAGACGTTATCAACTGCGTACATTCTACACGTTATTAATTGCGTAGTGTATTGCTCTTCATTTATATCCATTCATTCTACATTATTTATTATACATTATATTATTATTATATAATATATATATTATTTGATAACTCATCATTCATATTCATTCATTCTACATTATTATTTATTATATGATTATTATATAGTATAAATTATTATTATATTATATAATTATATTATTATTATATTAATTGCGTATCGGATTGCTCTTCCTAGTACAGGTTATTATTGTACAGCGTATTTCGTTTAATATACTAGTATAAGCGCTTTTATACGCCCATTATATACACTTTTATACGCCAATGGGAGCGCTTATACTAGTATAAGCGCTCCCATTCGCCTCTTCAGAGCGTCACTTAAGCTTGGTGGTATCAAAAATTTTCACTTTAATAAACTTTGACGCTCCTCAATAATAGCGTGATACATTAAAAATATTTATATGTTTCTTCCTGTATAACAAATATTTTTACTTGATAATATTATAAAATTTCGGTTTAGAATGTTGCTGTAAAGATTCCATATATTCACTTGTTGCCTTCAATATCATTCAGTTATATTTATTTAAATTTTTTAAATAATTTCAGTTACATCTTTGTATATCTAAGGTTTAGAACAATAATTTCTTTTGTGCCACATAATTGTCTCGGAACTTAAAAAATGACACACAATTCTTATTTTACTCAAGAATTTACCTGCTTCGTCCTGCATCAGTCTTTTGTAACTATAAAAATATTAGCTTGTCCCAGTATCAAATGTTTTATTTTAAATGTCAAAAATGACTTGTTTCATCGTACATAAGTTTCTTGTAGCTTGAAAACACTGAATAGTTTTATATTTAATTTTTATTTATAATTCATTAGTTATTTTTAATTTTCCATTTCTTTATTCGTATTTGTAATTAAATGTTTTTGTTTTTACAGTTGCACCGAGGGTACGGTTATCTCTCGGCGCGATGCTCTCCCCTGAACACATCAAAGAAGGGAGCGACGTTTACTTCAGATGTGACATCCACAGCAACCCTCCACCCAACCGCATCGCTTGGTTCCACAATGTCAGGGATATTTATTTATTGCTAGTTCTTGCAGTGAAGAATGCAGGAAATAGATAAGAACACATAAAGAAAAGAATAAACAAAGAATAAATACAAGCTGAAAAATTCGTTTGAAGAATAAATTCAATGAAACTTCATGGAAACCGGATATTTTAATTGGTCAATGCATGTTTCTTCGGCTTATGACATTCTTACATGTAAATTCAGTAATACATCCTGAGAGGCGAATACTGTAATGAATTAATTCATGTTTTCTTCTTCGTCTCCTTTTATCAATGCTTTTTTTATTACGCTAAAATTGAAGCGGTGAATAATAACAGAATATATTTCATCTTCAAATGTAAACTATCGGCTTAGTTATGTCCTCTTTCATAAAATTTTACAATTTTCAACGAATAAAGTTCATGTCAATTAAATATTTAGACTACATGCCTTATTGGTTTTGAAATAACAATTAAGCTTTTGCGCCGAACACCATATTGAAACTTTTCTCTCAAATTTGCGTGAATCTTCAAGCAGGCACATTTTCTTATTTTTCCATGCATAATATACCTCAAGAAATACTTCCCACGTTTATATTGCGCAAGAAAGTGCGCTATGCTGTAAGAATACTGGGTGAATTTCAGCGCCTTGTCGCCGATATTTCCAGCCAATATCGTGCAGCATTGCTATAAAAGTTTACGTCTCGATAATTCTTCCATCTTGTGTTATAAAATCTGTGCGCTCTATTTTGAATCAAAATAAAAAACTATCAACTTTTACTTTATTTACCAATTATCAATATTTACGAACACTTGGGGACGATCATTATACAGCCTTGTGTTATAAAATCTGCGCGCTCTATTTTGAATCAATATAAAAAAAGTATCTACTTTTACTTTATTTACGTACCCATTATCAATATTTACGAACACCTTGGAGATGTTATTTTTTATATAATATAGAATATAGAATATTCTGTATAATAGAAATTATTAAACAGAATATAAATTATATTTATATATTTATATATTATATCAATATCATCATTTATTAGGGATGTTATGCTCTGCAGGGTCAAGAGGTCCATGCTGACGACCGCGTCCTGGTGTCTGGAGACCATCTCGTGCTCCAGAAAGTTCATCGCAAGTGGAGCGGAAACTTCGCGTGCTCCGCCTCCAATCCCATGGGGGAAGCCATGTCCAACTCCTTGGAGATCGCAATCCAATGTGAGTGCAACCTTCTCATTGGAGATCGCCATTCAATGTGAGTGCAACCCACTCATTGGAGATCGCCATTCAATGTGAGTGCAACCTTCTCATTGGAGATCGCCATTCAATGTGAGTGCAACCCACTCATTGGAGATCGCCATTCAATGTGAGTGCGACCTACTCATTGAGATCATCATTCAATGTGAGTGCAACCTACTCATTGGAGATCGCCATTCAATGTGAGTGCAACCCACTCATTTAGATCGCCATTCAATGTGAGTGCAACCTTCTCATTGGAGATCGCCATTCAATGTGAGTGCAACCCACTCATTGGAGATCGCCATTCAATGTGAGTGCAACCTTCTCATTGGAGATCGCCATTCAATGTGAGTGCAACCCACTCATTGGAGATCGCCATTCAATGTGAGTTCAACCTGCTCATTGGAGATCGCCATTCAATGTGAGTGGGACCTGCTCCTTGGAGATCGCCGTTCAATGTGAGTGCGACCTACTCATTGGAGATCGCCATTCAATGTGAGTGTGACCTACTCATTGGAGATCGCCATTCAATGTGAGTGCGACCTGCTCCTTGGAGATCGCCATTCAATGTGAGTGCGATCTACTCATTGGAGATCGTCATTCAATGTGAGTGTAACTCACTCATTGGAGATCGCCATCCAATGTGAGTGCGACCTACTCATTGGAGATCGCCATTCAATGTGAGTGTGACCCACTCATTGGATATCGCCATTCAATGTGAGTGCGACCTACTCATTGGAGATCGCCATTCAATGTGAGTGGGACCTGCTCATTGGAGATCGCCATTCAATGTGAGTGGGACTCACTCATTGGAGATCGCTATTCAATGTGAGTGTGACCTACACATTGGAGATCGCCATTCAATGTGAGTGCGACTCACTCATTGGAGATCGCTATTCAGTGTGAGTGCGCCCTACTCATTGGAGATCGCCAGTGTATTGAACTCCAAGGAGATCGTCAAATTGGTGTTGGTAATCATAAAGCAAATAACGTTTATGGTCAGCATATGCAACGATAATTTCTATCGAAAGTAATATCAAAATTTCGGCATTAGAAACAATAATCCTAACTAATACAACAATAATAATTATAGGGTTATTATAATAAAAACTAATAAACCTTGCTCTAGATTATACAATAATAATAATAACAGATTTATAATAATAAATAATAATAAACCTTGCTCCAGATTCACCAGTGTGTGGGCGGACTAGACCTGTGCTGTACAGAGCAGCCCTCGGCCAACATGTCACGTTGCTGTGCGCTGTGCTGGCTAATCCAACCAACGTCACTTTCCAGTGGGCCTTCACTAACGCGGTCTCCCAGGTACGTAAGAAATGTTCAATGCAAGCGAGTTTATAAGAAATTATTAACTTGATGTGATTCCGAACTCAATCATCCTTATATTTCCGAATATATTACAACTTTGATTACCTCTTGCAGACGCTACACTGCAACACTAACGCGGTCTCTCAGGTACAACAGAAATGTTCAATGCAAGCGAGTTTATAACAAATTATTAATTTAATGTGATTCATAACTCAACAGTCCTCAAGTTTCCGAATACATTATAACTTTGATTATCTGGTGCAGACGCTACACTGCAATAGAATTCACAATATATCTAAATTTTTGTAATTACTTAAGTCGTATTCAGACATTCCCGAATAAATCAAGCTAGTTTTTGTCGTTCGCAAGTAATATTTAAATTTTTGTAATTACTTGAGTCTAATTCAAACACTCCCGAATATATCAAGCTACTTTTTGTCGTTCAAAAGTAATATTTAAAATTTTTGTAATTAATTAAGTCTCATTAATTAAGTCTCATTATATATCAAGCTAGTTTTTGTCGTTAACTTCTAAATTGAACATTTTTTTACAGACGCTACCGTCTCCTGGCTACGGTTTATCAAGCAGCTCCCTGATGACGACCTCTCTGCCCCCACCGGGCATCACGGGCGGGGTGCGGTCAGTGCACGGTTTAGAAGGCCGTCTCAAGTATCAGCTACAGCGCGTACAAGATTATGGGTCCGTTGAATGCCGGGCCACCAATAGTGTTGGATCTCAAGCCATACCTTGTGTCTTCACAGTTAGACCTCCAGGTGAGTGTATATGTGTTGGAACTTCAGGCATTGTTTACAATTCTTTTGATTATTGTCTGGTAATTACGTATACAATGATTACTGTCTGGTAATTACGCATAAAATTTTTTAGTAATTACTTATACAATTTGGGTTTGTTTTATTGTAAACTTTACTTTTACATCAACTAATTAACTGAAGCTTTAATTAGGATTGAGAAACGAGTTGCTTAATTTTCTGCCGCTTTGTACCTCCCAAAACGATTCAGTATATAATTCAGTAGATACACAAGTGTAGGTCTAGCTTTGGTATGTTTGATGTTCAACAATACTTTTCATGCATGGTATGTCTCTTCCAATTCGATTAATGGGCCAAATAAATCAATTTAAGTAATGAGACTGCCTGTATTTGTTTCAAATTCTACAGAAGTGATAGCACGCTAAGTTTTATTTATTTTATTCATAAATTTTGTCCTGTAACATTTAAAACTATGTAACTATCCTCATCAGGATATTTTGCTTGTGTTGTCAGGCATTCCTTCCTCCAACTTCGGATGCAAAGTGACGAAGCAAACATGGGCGAGTGTCGAGATCGCTTGTGCTCTATCATCGTCATACACCAATGACGACTCCGAGAACGTCACTGACGATGCTGCTGTGAATACGGCAGCGAATGCAAATTGGAATATGGCTGCAAATGCAGATGAGAATACAGTTGGAAGTAAAAAGCTTTTGGATCACATCCAGATGAAGAACGTGGCCGGCAGCGCTGAGAACAGCATACAAAACAAAGTGCCATCCAAGCACGCTGATCATAAGTGGACCACTCTGGAAAAAGATGCCTTAGGAGTCAAGGCCTGGAACGGCAAGGAACTGAGATTGGTCAGTATTGATTCTGTTTTGAATTCAGTTGAAAGTGGTACAATTTATAATAAGGATTTGCTAGTTCAATAAAACTTTATTTGTTTTCTCCTCATCAACTTGAGCAAGTTTTGAACTACAATTCAAGTGTGTATTTGAGTGAACAGATATTCATCATAAACAGATTTACCAGAATTACAGAAAGAATCTTACCTTAATGGAAATTTTGAATTTAATGGATACAATAATTATTGAAACTATAGATGAACTGTAATCTAAATTATAGATTAAAATTAATTACCATATATACAAGTATAATATACAGCTAATTCTTCTTTGAAGGGTACGACTAGGTATATATGATCGCATTCTCGAGTCTGGGATTTTTTACTAGTGAGACTTGCTTCTAGATAAATAATATCGTTCTAATTATAACTATATTTACTTTGAATTTTCTATGCTTACAATTATATTCTGCGCGCAGGTGGAAGACCACGACCAAAGTGCGGAACTCAGAGCCGACGAATTACAGCAACAAAATCAACCACAAACTGGAGCCGGCGACGCAAAAATATTAGACGCTGACGCGCCCGACGACACCGAATATCTGCTGACCGTGCGGGAGCGAAACACCAACACCCTCATGCATAACACTACAGGTGAGACTGTGACGGTGAACTGTAACTCTCTACCGTGCTGGAGTGTAACACCAACACCCTCATGCATAACACTACAGGTGAGACTGTGACGGTGGACTGTAACTCTCTACCGTTCTGGAGTGTAACACCAACGATGCATAACCGCACAGGTGTGATTGTGCGACAACGAACCGTTGCCGTATGCCAGTGCACAATGCACGGTTCACTACGTCTATACAGACCTATAATGCACTGCATACTATGTCAATACAGACCTATAATGCACTGCATACTATGTCAATACAGACCTATAATGCACTGTATACTATGTCAATACAGACCTATAATGCACTGTATACTATGTCAATACAGACCTATAATGCACTGCATACTATGTCAATACAGACCTATAATGCACTGCATACTATGTCAATACAGACCTATAATGCAATGTTCACCATGTCTATACTGACCTATAATATTTTAAAACAGGCTCTAAGTCGCTTATTTAGCATAAAAATTTATGACCAACAGCATGGAAATGTTATGAATCAGTGCGTTTCCTACAATAGTTTTTTAATCAACATTAAAACAAATCATACTTGTCCAAAAAATTCAAGCTTTATCAAATTCAATGCATTTAGAACTTAAATAACAGACAATTGACAGTATCGGCCAAATTTGCGTATTACTAAGCATTCGTGATGGTGTTCTATAATCTTCTGCCTTTGAAAGCGTCACGGGCCATTACCTGCATTTCCGGCACATTGAATTCGTTTTATGAAATCATAAATGTCATTATTCCATCAATATACGTGAATAGACGAATAAATTAATTTAATGTTAATTAATTTAACCTTTAATTTTTAAAAAATTCAGTGATTTTTCAAAACTTTTCGAAGTTTTCTATTTGAGTAAACTTTGAGTTCTTTTATTCTATTTTGAATTCGATATCGGATTGTCATGCGAAAATTATTTTCTGCACACCAGTTAATTTTTTGATTAAATTTAGATAAGTTTGGTCATTTTAGGTGTTTAGTGTTAGGTTACAGTGGGGTTAGGGTTAGGTTACGGTGATTTAAGTTGTTTTCAATAGAAATTTTATGAATGACCAATTGCATGAATTAGCTTCAAAATATGAATTTCTTTTCGGGTGAACATTATGACCCATGATGATGGTATAAAGTTGTACGTTTGCTCATTTTTAAATAATACAAACATCTGGTGGAGTTTTACATGCATTTAATTATAAGTTATAGAAACTGCTTTAATTTCACAGGTGCCCGAGGAGTTTTCAACCTGACCGGCCTGACCCCCGGAGCGGACTACGTCATCAGAGTGTGGCGGGTGAATAGAAGAGGGCGATCCGCCCCGCTCACTCTTGAGACCTTCACGCTGCGTACGGCTGAGAACAGAATGAGTGAGTCACATAGTCGTTAGCATAGGCAGAGTTGTTGCAACAACGGCATAGTTGTTGTGAGGCAGTCATATAGTCGTTTGTTGACATGAAGAATCGTTTGTGAGAGTCTTTTGTTGACAGTGTTGTTTGTTGTGAGGCAGTCACATAGTCGTTTGTTGACATAGAGACTCATTTGTGAGAGTATTTTGTTGACATTGTTGTTTGTTGTGAGGCAGTCATATAGTCGTTTGTTGTGAGGCAGTCACATAGTCGTTTGTTGTGAGGCAGTCACATAGTCGTTTGTTGTGAGGCAGTCATATAGTCGTTTGTCGTGAGGCAGTCACATAGTCGTTTGTTATGAGGCAGTCACATAGTAGTTTTCTGGGCTGTCACATAATCATTTCTTATATGTGTATTGTAGTCAAAGTTTAAGGGTTAGTAATTTGTCATGGGTCTCTAACTCAGTCATTTGTTGATAAGCAGGATAACGAACAGGTGCTTTGTCTTTAGGAAGAGGAATGTAGCTGGCCGGAGTTCAGAGAACCCCCCCCCCCCAATTAATTATTCAAACCCAGATTGAGTTCCGAATTAGAACCAGCGTGTCTCGCTGGGTTGCAGCATGTATTTTTTGCAGCTTGCAGCCCGAAGGTAGCAGCGTGTCTTTTTAGACTAACCTTCGGGAACCTGCTTATTGCCGACGGATGTTGAAGTCTGGGGTGTTAGGTGCGATGCTAATTTTGGATGTGAGCTCGATGACTTTGCCGCAACGCTTCTATCAAGTTTCTCACTGCCTTGATCCTTTCATTGTTTTGTTTCTTTAAAATTTAATGCGAGTAAGCCAATTACCATAACTAGGTGCGGATAGAATAAATACAATACGATTAGCATATTCAGTAATAATTAGCAGTTACGTTTATTGATGACTAATAATGTAACGGGTCCAACTAAGCTGAGCTGTTAGTATCAACAAAGCTACCGTTCCACTGATTATTTTATTGATGGATTTTTATGCAACTAAGAACTGGTGCAAAGGCGATTTTGCATATGGATAATGCTTTTCAGTCGAGTGGCAAAACATTAATTGAGAACAAACCTCAATATTTTTGCCTTTGAGACGATGATACGTTGCTTGTCTCCACCATTAATGACAGTTCCCGTAACTTGAGGATCGCTCGAAAAAATCCCCTTCAATAGATGCATTACCCAACGGAAGTTGATGATCAATGTGGTTATTCAACTGCTAGAATAAAAATATGCGAAAATAGAAGTATAAGTTTGTAGTACTTTCATAAGTAATATAGTAGTAGTAATATAAGTAGTAGTCTATTACCTTTTAACGGAAATGAATGCATAAGAAATAATAACATCATTCGTTATAACAGGAGAAGACGTTGTTAGTGACGCTGCAGCAGTCGTGCTGGGGAGCGTTCTGACAGCCACAGCTCTACTCCTAGTCCTGGCGCTCTCGGTTGTCTTGATAACGCGACGCAATCGTCACGCCACGGCGGCAAGAGCCCAGTTCCTACAATCTACAGTGACACTCGATCAAGAATCTCCTAGCACGTTAATTCCTCCCGGGGAAGGTCCCAGTCAAAGTGTCGTACCTTTGGTACACCAGATTGCGGAAGACGCTCCAGATCTGCTCGGAGAAGAACGTAAAACCCCTTCAGGAGCGTCTGCAGGTCTCGAGGGCGATGATGTCTTCCTCGTTGCAGATCACTGCTATCAGGCGTCGTCTTCGCTCTACTCGGGACTAACTCCAGTAACTTTTTATAATGATGGATTTAGAGCCAAATCAAAAAATTTGTGATTCAATTATTTTTTTTAATAGCGTTAAGAATCAGAGTGAAATATAACTGCAGGGACATAAAAATCATTGTTCACTAATAATCGATCATTCTTTATTCGAAAAAAATGATGAAACACAGTTAATTGCCTGTCCTGATCACATAAATTGTACGGATACCGTACAGTAAAACACATTCTCTATGCTATATAATATATTATCCGTAAGAGTTACAATGGTTGAACAATAATCTATATCATATCTATTCTATTCAGGTATCTCCTGTGAATATGAGCAACAGTTCAACCCTAAGAAAAATGCCGGATGGTTCAGAAAGCTGCGGTCGTATCCCAAGAGCTGAAAATTTGGTCGATCAAACTGGAAAGCAAACTCACTATCTTCCAAGGAGAGAATCCTTATGCGAATACTCCTCGACAGGCTACAGTTCCCCTGGTCTTGTTTCGCCAACAGCTGCCCTTAACGAAGGGGAAGCTAGCGACAGTCTCAGAGACCTGGAACGTCAAAGAGGAGTTGGGATTCCAGGACGCGTTGCTCGCTCCCGCAATCCAGACCATAGAGCTCACTACGTTCGCAGTCAGCAGTTAACGCAAGTAGCACAAGAGCGAGAAAGTTTCTTATGATGTGGAGGTACTAACAGCCTCTTCTTTACTACTCTATTTGGGTAATTTCTTCCAGATATTTTTGATATTGCTATATCATTACCATAGTTAGCATAACAGAGCATATCGTATCAAGAAATCTACGTGTAGAGTAGCAAATGTATTAGCTGCAATGAGAGACGTATATAATTCTGATTAGTGATACGAAGTAAACATCAATGGATTAGCGAACACATCTATCTAATGATACTAATGCTACCAAATGCATTAATCACAATTAAATGCTACTAAATGTATCAATCAAATGCATTAATCAGAATAACGCTAAAATACAGAATCATAACCATGATGATTAACCATTGATTATCGTGATAATCAAGGATAACAAAAAAAATCATGATAGACATGAATTTGTCTAGATTTAGTTGCCAGGGCCTATACTTTCAAAAAAGTTAAGAGATAGTAAGTTCATCAGCCAATCATTGACGGCCTTTCAAGCAAAATCCACCAATCACAGACAAGGAAATAGAGCGTAAGTACTTACGTTCACTTAGCTAGTTTTGAAAGTATGGCCCCAGGTCCAAATTTCATATAGATTGCAACTGTGCTTATAATTTCTTAAACGCATTTTCTAGGTGAAATACATTTTCTCAAAAGTATTTCTCAAATGAAAACAGTTTATTATCATTTCCCCTAATCAAGTTGAATATTATTTTAAAATTTTCTATCAATATTTTTAAATATTAATTTAAAGACACCATGCGCGACTTGTTAATACTGCTCACGAAATTCACGAATTTTTTGCTCATGGTGGGAAGTTGAAAAAGTTTTAGGTAGTTGTCTAGACAATGAGTTGTAAACAAACCAAGTAGTACGAACTGGTATGTAGGTACGCGCTCAGACATATTGTAAAAAATGAAATTTGAAGTTTTTCAACCATTTAATTTTAAATATATATTTTTTTCAATATATCATTTTTTTACAATATATTTCTACAAACATTTTATCTTGTCTATTCTATTTCGAACATTTTAACGTTAAAATTATTGGTATAAATTTAATTTGCATGGAAATTCTCATTGGTTTAATAATGAAAGTGTAATTAATTGTCAAATTACTTCTATTTAAATTTGTATGAAAATACTCATTGGTTTATTAATAAAATTTACACATTTCTAGTTTGTAAACTTGTAGTTCATCGATATACTTGTTGTCTAAAAATGCCCGAATTTATAACTTAAAGATGTAATTCGTTCGTGCAATCCTCACACCGAATCAACGTCATGAAAATCATTCTATTAAATATTATTATACAATAAAATCATTATATAAATATTAAATCATTTATAATTTATTTTAGTCATCGTCGTATTTCTCATCATCTTCTGCAGTACTCACCCTGGATCATTGATGTTTTGTACACTAAAAAACTAATTAAACGAGTTAAAAAATATCTGCTTGTTCATTCTTGTATGAAAACCCGTTTTCATCATTTGTATACAGCTTAGTAGTCATGCAAGATGTAAAAACTCTACGGATATTGAAAACAGCATTAAGATTACTCTTACAGTCCGATACTCCAGCTTTTCAACCAATTCGAATTAACAAGAAAAAAGTTTCTTGATTAAAAAACACTGAAACTTTTTCAAGAAACTAATTACTCACCGAATATTGTAATTGAATGACATTTTTATGCCTCAAAAGATGGTTAAAAAACTATTAGACTGTGAAATATCTTTGATTTTGAAGTCTACAAAATTTATCCGGGTTGACTCAAAATTCTAATTATTTGACTTACTTAATGAATCAACAGAATAACCTATAACTAAAATGAGCTAACATGACCAGAATCAGTTTCGACTACGCCTCCGTAAATTTTAATCTAATCAAATTTTACGTAAATTTTAATCTAATAAATAGCCTCCGTAAATTTTAATCTAATCAAATTTTACGCAAATTTTAATCTAATAAATAGCCTCCGTAAGTTTTAATCTAATCGCTCGCTATTTCAATAGGAGCGGCTAAATTACGAGTATTAATATTTGTACTGGAGTCACTGAAGGAGTAAATACGCTTACTTGGTACATCACACTTCTTTAACGATGCGATGCTGCATTTCAATGAAGGAAATACTGTTCCATTTTTCGGCTCTTGACGCAAAATAGAATAAAGAGGCGTAGAAATTTCTTCCTTATTAGCGCTACTAGATTGAGGGAGCAGTGTAGTTTTGCAAGACCGATCCTCGCTTACCAAGCGAATTTCTTTCAAGATCGGTAAAGTCTTTGTGTTGAAACCCCAAGCGAAGTCTTCATCTGACGAGCTATAATCGTCTTCTTCGTATATTAGTTCTTCTACGGGCTCTTGAAAGGAAAGTTTCTTTATCAAAGGCGCCTTTTGTTTTTTTACTTCTTTTCCTGCTGAGCCTGCGTCAGACTTTGGCGGTAAACTCTTATCATAATCGAAATTTTTTTGAGAACTTTCTAATTGGTTATTCGCACACTTGGTCGAATCATCATAAATATTATCAGAATCTTTATCTGTTGTGTTGGATTCCAAATAATAACTTTCGTCAGCAGCCGTGGAGGGCACATTTGTTGAAAATTCGGTCATTAAATCTGAAGTTTTCTTGCTGAAAATTGACCTGGAATCTCTGGAGCTGCACGAGACGGCATCGCTCGCAGTATACGTCCGCATTTCGAAATTTTCTTCGGGTATGCTTTGAAGGCTGATTAAGCCTGAAGAACCTTTCTGAAATTAAAAATTCAGGTTTCTGAAACCTAGCATGTACTTATTAAAGTAAATTATTCATTTTCGATCAAAATATGTCAATAGTTTCTTACCAAAATGTTCTGCTGAAAATTCAAGACTTGCATTCCCCATAATCATGGTGTTAATCCAAGACACGTGAATTGATAAAATGACACAATTCTATGCTATGAACAAAAATAATTCAATTGCTAATACGTGGCATATAAAGTTACTAATTGTGCAATTCTGCACTTCTTCACCGTGTATAAAAACAATTCATTTTCAACTACCTGGCAATTAAATTACAAATTACATATATTAACCATCCCAAGATTAAAATTGCCGGTTCTCTAACCTTGGTCAGCCTCGGTGGCGTAGCCGCGGGAGTGGCAGAGGTAGCAGCGACCGACTCGCGATCAGTGCCATAGATCGACGCAAACGAAGCCCGAGCACGACTGAAAAAAATGATGTAATCCAGTGAAATCAATCATCAATTTGCTCACCGTCAACATATTATTAACTCAAAATATAATCACAAATTGTCAAGGGCAACTTGGTAGTTAATTTTTTAACACCACACAAAGTTATAAGAAAGGGATTCGAGTTTATTTTCTATTTTCAATCTAAATTCAGATTGAATTCACAACATCAAAATTACGAAATTAAAGTTACCTTATATGCTCCAATCATGTCTATTTCAAACTGTAATCTGACACGCTCTGTACATGCTAGGATTGAAACCAGGAGTTGGAATGCATTCATCGAGGTTCGCATACATTGAGCTATGTGCTCATTCACGTTTGATACGTCTTCCGCTTTTGCACAACCTTTTGCATCGGCTGAACTAGATAAACAGCAAACAAAATGATCGAACTTTTAGCAGGAAAGAATTAACTTGAAGTAAAAGTAATTAGTGACTTAAACACTCAGAATCATCGAATTTAACAAATGCAGTAAAGAAGTGAAGGTAGTAGAAGCAGCAAAGGTTTAGCAGAGATGCTCCCATGAACCTTGTGCTGCTCAAATCAGACAGACGAGCAGTTGAGGAACAAGCAGCGGCTTTCATCAGTTAGAAATATAAAATTTCTTGTAATACGCATTGATCCGCACAGTCCAAGGCCAAAATAATGGTATCACTGGGCAAGCTAAAGGATTGTGATGTCCTAGTTGCAAATAACCAAGGCTTGCGTGCATTGCAAGGACCAAACTTTGAATCATTCATGAATAAACCTCGTTTCTGAAGCACATAGAGGCATGAAGAAAAAAAACAAAGTCTACAGTGTAGCTTTCAGGATAGAGGATGATGGAAAACATGAAGTTTGGACCAGAATATTGCCAAAATTTAAAGACCACCAACGTTTTCGGTTTTCGGCATTCAGAGCCGAAGAATTTTGTGAATTTACAGCAGTGCTGCGAAGGAAATGTGCCAGGGAACGTAAGACTGAAAGACACTCGCACTTTGCACAAAGATGGTAGGTTGATGGTCGGTTGGTGGAGGAATTTATGCCAAAATACCTCAAAGGGACTGAAAATATCGATTAAGAATTAGGTGCTAGGATCAGACTTCCATGAGATGATAGGGTTGAAGTCATGCCTTAGTATCCATAGTATTTGTTTGGGACGTAGCAGTCCCAGGCCACGATGGATCGTCGCCTCTGACTATCGCGCATCCACCCTCATTTGGGCCACCTGATGCACGATGCTGTTGCTTGATTCTCGCCGCTGGTAGTGTTGCAGGGGAGGTCGATCTGGGATTGTGCCCAGGAACACGTCTAGTCGTCTCTTGAAGGTCTCCAGGGTGAACTCCCCCTCTCTTGGATCGTTTTTTAGGATGTTAAACAGCCTCAGCCCTGCCACGAAAAGTGATCCTTCAAGCATGCCTCTCACCTCAACGGGGTGCTGTATATGCTGGGGTTGTAGTCATGGCTCTCACCTCAACGCGGTGCTGTATATGCTGGGGTTGAAGTCATGTCTCTCACCTCAACGCGGTGCTGTATATGCTGGGGTTGAATTCATCATCTGAAGTCACTCGGTAGTATAGCTTGCGAAGCTCCAGTCGAACCTCGCCATTAACGAAGCAGTAAAGGAACGCTACGATCAGGCCCTTCGAAGCGAGTGATTATTACCATTTTTAAAGCAGAGATAAGCAGATAAAAAATAATATTGAAATATGTTAAGAAAACTTTAGATTCCAATGGAATACAAACATTTTTTAATGTTCAAGATATATTCAAGAAAAATCATTGAAGTTGGAAGCTTATGAAGGATAATGCTGAGAATGGTGATAAAAAATTGCTAAAACAATGAAATTCATGAAATTTCTCCGAAAAAAAAATTATTTTGATTAATAAATATTATTTCATGATTAAATGAATGGACGGAAAAGTTCATCAAAACTTTTTGAACAAAATTTCCATTATAGAGGCAATCAACATTTTATCTAATAGATTTTAATAAAGTAAGAAATGCTGCCTCTACTTAGTCAAAATATTGTTATCACAAATGAAAAATAATAAAATCAGACACTCTGACCCTGAACAAATATCTCAAAAAGTATTTTAGCTAAGTTTGTTGAATGAAACCCCCTAGGCCTCTTCATTTTTACTATTTTTAAAATTAAGTTAAAATAATAGCAAACAGCATATTGAAATATCAAAATTCTATAGATCTTTTAGTTTCAATGGACAACAAACATCATTCAATGTGAATTCAGCAGCCTGGTTTCTATAGATCTTTTAATTTTAAGGGATATCAAACATAAATCAATGTTGAATTGAGCAGCCTGGTTTCTATAGATCTTTTAATTTTAATAGACAGCAAGCATAATTCAATGTTGAATTCAGCAGACCAGTTACCTGGAAGGAAGAGCAGACCTGGTCCAGCAATAGCCACGTGAGCTCGACGGGAGGATGTGAAGACAGCGATAGTCCCCACAGCAGACAGTAGTGCACCCCGAACAGCGGCACCAGCACCAGCGTCGACCGGCTCAGCTGTCTGCACAATAACGTCAATCTTTAACTATTTCATGAGAAAAGCGACACCAGCGTTGAATAAAGTCAACTTTACATAATTTCATGAGAAAAGCGACACTAGCGTTGACCGGCTCAGCTGTCTACATAATAACGTCAATCTTAGAATTTCATGAGAAAAGCGACACCAGCGTTGAATAAAGTCAACTTTACATAATTTCATGAGAAAAGCGGCACTTGAGTTGACGTGCTCAGCTGTCAGCAGAATAGCGTCAAATTTAGATAATTTAACGAGAGAAGCAACACTTGAGTTAATCGGCTCAGCTGTCTGCACAATAACGTCAGTCTTAGATAATTTCGTGAGAAAACGACACTAGCGTTGACAGGCTCAGCTGTCTACATAATAACATCAATCTTAGACAATTTCATGAGAAAAGAGACACCAGCGTTGACAGGCTCAGCTGTCTGCAGAATAGTGTCAACCTTAGATAATTTCATGAGAAATATGACACCAGCACCAGCGTTGACCGGCTAAAGGCTGTCTGCACAATAGCGCCAACTTTTAACAATTTCATGAGAAAAGCAACACCAGCGTTGAATATGGTCAACTTTAGATAATTTCATGAGAAAAGAGGCACCAGTGTTGAATAAAGTCAACTTTGGATAATTTCATGAGAAAAACGACACTAGCGTTGACCGGCTCAGCTGTCTACATAATAACGTCAATCTTAGATAATTTCATGAGAAAAGCGACACCAGCGTTGAATAAAGTCAACTTTACATAATTTCATGAGAAAAGCGGCACAAGCGTTGACAGGCTCTATCAGCTGTTTGTAGAATAGCGTCAACTTCAATTTATTTCATGATGATAGCATTTCGTGATGTAAACATTACAGACATATAGTTCATAGATTTAAAAACTTGGATATTGTCAAATGTTTTAAATTAACTACCACCAAAGTTTAAGAATTAAGAGGCCGTGAAAATAAAAGTTTAAATAAACCCAAATGATTGTGATTTTCTATCGAAACTTTCCATATTTCTGAACTTACAGTGCATGCATCAAATTCTTTTTAGTTATATTCGTAATATAAGTTACATCAAATTCTTTTTAGTTATATTCGTAATATAAGTTTACCGTATTACATCAATAGATGTTTAGTCATATTGAATTATTTATGAGTTCAATCACTCAAATTTTAGAATCACATTATAACAAATTCCGTCATCATGATCTCCATCATAATAATTATGAAACCTCTACGATAATCAAATACATGAATAAAAATATTACGGGAGACAAGTTCAAGCGTAAACTCAGCATGAAAATAATAAATGAACCTTTGATTCACAGGCCACATCCCGACTCGATTTTTGACGAGCGTACGAACTCCTTTATATTTACAGTGCCAGGCTCAAATCACACACAAACTTTGACAAATTTTAAATTTTAAAAATAATTAAATCAATTTTAAATTGATTAAATAATTAATCAATTTTAAATTGAATAAATAATTAATCAATTTTAAAAATAATTCTAATTAAACCGTGGTATTGAGCCTCCAAAATTATAACAATTGCTTTAACTGTCTTACTAGTTTATTACCCAATAATCACAGGCTCCATGAGAGCGTGTGATTGCTGGACGGTCCTATTGCAGCGAGATTATGTATTATATGACATATTATATTGTATGAAACTCGTATAATATAAATGTGCTTTGTTAAAAAAACTGTGCGCTCAAGACTGACTTGCATTTGCTCTTTTCTCTGCTAACGGATGACCGTAACTTGAGCGCCACGGTGCGTATGATGTTCAAGAAGAATATCACATTGAGGAACACTGAGGCGGCAACGGGCAGCCTCAGGCCTATCCAGTGAGGCCAAGGATTTGAATGCACCAGCCAGCAGTGGTTGTTGTCCACCAGCGCCCGGGCGATGGACCAGCTCACTATCACCAGCATGGGAGAGCCTGGAGTGCGCATATAAAAACATTAAGAATTCAAAAGCAATTTAAAAAAACTAAAAAAAAGACATATGAGTGCGCAGAGAAATACATTAAGAACTTAAAATCAACAAAAAAATCAAAATACGTAAATATATATTTAGGATTCACATGGATCAAATAAATTCAAATTTATTTGAAATTCCAATTCAAGTCATATTAAGAATTTAAAATTAACAAAAAGTTCAAAATACGTAAAAATATATTCAAGATTCGAAAGGATCAAATAAATTAAAATTTATTTCAAATTCAAATCTAAGTTATATTAAGAACTTAAAATCAACAAAAGATTACAAATACGTAGAAATATATTTAAGATTCAGAAAGATCAAATAAATTCTAATTCATTTGAAATTCAAATTCATGGATCAAATAAATAAATTTGGTGCCAGTAAGTATTAGAATCAAATAAATTCACAATGTCTTCAACGAAACCGTTACTTAAACCAGTTCCACCATTAGCTCAAAAACTGATGATGGAACTGCTCTCCAAAACGTTTTCATTGAAGATATTTTGTATTTACGTGTCATTAGTTTTCTCTTCTTTTAAATTTTTGGTGAACTAACGATTTAAGCTGACTAATGATATAAGGAAGTATTAGGAATATATTGTTTCGGTAGAAATATATTGTTTTTGTCTTTCTGAGTTGGGGCAGATATATTTATACGCAGAATCTTTGTAAAATTTCGGTTGAAGTCCAGAGAAACAAAAAATTGTCCTATTATTCTTCTAGTAGCATTTGTAACATTTATAACATTTATACATTTTAGTATTTATCATTGTTATTTTTTCATCTTTATTTGAAGAAACAACTTCTACCAAACAACAATAATACTTAGTAAACTTGAATGAACCGTTAAGTCAAATGCGTATTACACGGAACCCCAAGTAAAGTACGATTATAAAATAAATGTAATCAGCAAGGATGCTGCTGGCATTATAGTCTCCCAAGGACAGCTGTAATTGGGGCTATTTGACTTACTAGTAACTGGATTAGAATCGTGTGGGAAAATTATTTTACAAATATATATCAATTCTCTTTGAAAAAATTATCCATTTATTAATCATATGAAATTTGTTTGTCCAATTCTTCAATAACTACATTTTATTTAAGAAGCATTAGTTAAAAAGGACGAATTATTTCAGGTCACAAAAATGAAATCATAAGAATCGTGCGATAATTTTAAACTTGGGTTATTTCAAATGACACTATATTGTAGTGAGAAGCTCGCAGACATCAAACTTGAGCTCTACTCTAATTTCTCAATAATATATTCACTAATATAACAAACATTCACTAACAAAACAAAGCGACACACGAGCGAAATTGACACAAAATTCTGTTGAAAACTTCCGCTAGTGACTGAAATCTACATAATAGTTATTTCACATGACAATAAATTAGATTATCATAATTAAAAATAAATAAAATGGTTTATATAGGAATAATAATTATTTCAGATGACAATAAATTGGATTATCATCATTAAAAAGGAATAAAATAGTGCATATAGGAATAAAAACTGTTTTACATGACAATAAATTGGATTATCATCATTAAAAAGAAATTAAAATAGTCGATATAGGGCATTTTTTGATCTATTGAAGCCAAAATGTTTAATTTAAACAAATCCGCACCCCAGCCGAGTATAACATAAGGCATGATGGTGGCCGAGGAGCCTGCGAAGAGCGCTCTGATGATCAGGTCATGATTAAAAATAAATAAAATAGTCGATATAGGGCATTTTTTGATCTATTGAAGCCAAAATGTTTAATTTAAACAAATCCGCACCCCAGCCGAGTATAACATAAGGCATGATGGTGGCCGAGGAGCCGGTGAAGAGCGCTCTGAAGATCAGGTTGTGGAGGTACATGCCCTCCATCAGCAGCCATGAGTAGTTGGCAAGGATGAAATACTCCCATACGGCGACCATAATCCGGCACACCCAGCCTCGCACCCCGATCGTCTTTTGCAAAGAATTGTTTCATCAAATTCTGGGGTATCCGAAACCTGATATAAATACCACTGTAATAAAATATCAATAAATTAGACGAAATATTATATTGATTACTATCGTTCTTAAACAAAGTTTAAAAAATAACATGAAAATCAAGTGCGCATTCTGAAATACGGATGAAAAGTTAACTTTTGCAAAAAATTACTAAGGACAAATCTCATTCTATTATTTTAGTTATATCTTCCTCTCCTTATATCGTCATTGACGTTTCAATGGGTAGAAATGATAATAAAACAATCATATCTTTCTTCATTCTGATATTAAGCTGCTTATATTCTGTTGCACTAATTAATTTCAAAACTAGTAAATTTCAGCGTTAAACATGTCTATTGCACGCAGGTTGTGAAAGCGAAAATTTGTCCAAACACTACCAGACTCCCGCTGAGCTACTATAGTTATGGAAGCTGTTGGGTTTTGTTGGAAATCCTTGACACATGATTAAATGACTACATCACAGTTCGATATTATTCATCTTATTCTATTCTGAATCGACAGTTCTCCTAGTAATATTCATAGTATTCATTCATTACCCCGTGTTCCTCGAACGCTGCTATGGATGCCACCACTGAAGGCGTTATGAGTGGCGTTTTAAGCAGCACGGCGACAGCCCGCAGCTTAAACGAGGCGAACAGGTGCAGGTGGAGACGGTTTCTGGCACATCTCAGGCGCCTGTAGTTAGTGAAGGATAGGATTGGTGGATACAGTTTGACGCTGTACGTCAAAAAATAAAATTAGTGGTTGTAAACTCATCTTACTCCACACTTATAAGGGTGACTTAACCAATAATAATTATGCTCAACCTTGCCTATAGTAAGAGGAATATTATTGGTAGAAGCAGTTAACATAATAAGTAAAAACATTATTTGTTGTACTTTAAAAATCCCATTTGTAGCATTAATGAGCCTTTCAATATATATGTCGTGTAGGTTAACTTTTAATTGCCAAATGACGCTATCATGCAGTAAAGAAAGATTATAGGAGGTTTTAAAAAATATCCTAAAATACAGTTGTGATGGTAAAGTAAACGATATTAAAATTATGCTCAAACTGGAGATAAGCAGTTCCCAATATTGTCAACAACTTGTTCAGTTTTTAGCGATATTCTAAAACGATGAATTGCAAATAATTCATTATAATTATGGTTTTGCAATTAAACTACTGTTTGTATATTGCATATTGCACCGAGAACTACATAAATATCATCACAATAGTTTACTTGCATTTTTCTTCAATATTTATATGCTCATTAAATTAGTTACTGACTTGACTGAAAGGAGGACGATTGAAGAGATCAGTAGTGCTGACAGGGAAATGCTGTATCCGATCATCGATATCGTGCTGATGATCGGCAACCATTTCTGCGGCATATCAAACATAATAAATTATAAAATGTTTGTTAAAATAAACTATTAAGGCTCAATGAATTTCGAAATTTTTACAATAGTGTATTTTACAAAACATTCAAATAAAATTCATACAACTGTGCGCGAATATGAAGAAAGCCTTTTGTTTACAGTAAAAATTGAAATTTCTTTGAAATTTTGCACTGTATTTATTTCAACTCTGAATCAGTTCATTTTTGAGCTCTCACATGAAGATTTTCCTCATTTAATATAAATAAATCGTATGTTCCATGCATGCGACAAGGTAAAAAATTATATTCCCTCTCGACCACTACCGAATTAATTCGTCACCGAATGTCCTATGAAAATCCCAAAACAAAATTTCGTCTTCAACACCTAATGTCTTACGAATATACCAAAACAAAATTTCGTCTTCAAAGAAAAAGCGTCTCCCTGCGGGAAGCGTCGAAATGCGTTTCTTGCAAAATATGTATTCAATATTCGATATAGTTCATAACATCCATTCGAACCAAATTGAGTCTTAAAATTCCCCTTGTTAGCAATTCTAGCCTCACGAGAGTTGCCCTGAACATCTCGTATAAATCTTAGGAAGGATTTTTGAAGTCACTTACCGCAATCAGAGGCGAAACTCTTTTATGATGTTTCCGTCTCTTTGCCAGACAGTAAGTGTAGTTGCTCCATCCACTGTCAAAACCTGCGGACGTTCGTACAGAAATTTAATTATAAATGACTTTTGAATCCCAATTTTTATTCCTGTTGTTAGTGGATCGTCAACAACAGTGAAAAATTCCTTAACGGTGGGGAAATTTGATGACAGACTAATTTAAAATGAGGTGATAATGGAAGAGAAAGGCTATTTTAATATTTCTAGTGAATAAAAACATCTATATTATATATTTAAGAAACTAGCAAGCGGTCTGATAAATTCATTAGCATTAACAAAAATTATGAGTGCAGCAAAGATATATTTTGGAGATGAAAAGTGATTCGTTGGAGACGGTGTCATATTCAAATGAAAATTATAATGCGAATAATGATGCGAAGGACGAAAGTGAGATCCTTTTGCAATATTAAACGATTGATGCAATGGATGAGATTTATACAATTCATGCATATAAGCCCATACTTAGACTCAAGAGAAAATAATTACTGTATGTGGGAGCTGGAGTTCCCAAAGAAAGGCTGCTCTCGCTTTCGTTATATTCTGGTACATCAGTTGGCTGTAAAATTGAGTTGGTTAAATCAACTTCAACTTCTTGAGTTGACAAATCGATTTCTTCAGGTTGTTGAGTCGAAGTTTCAGGTTCCTCGACGTGTGGATTTTTCTCCCACTGACCATGAGCATCGCACCATCTGGTAGCGTGACCCTGGGGAAAAATTTCAATTTTAAATTTAAAAATTAATTTAAATGTAAAAATTTTTAAATTTTCTATGAATTGTAATTGAAACATTGTCATCTGAACATTTTAGTTTGAACATTTTCATCTATCATTACCATTGTAATTTCTAACGATCATTTAACACAATGATTATGAATCGAATTTGATTCTTGAGATTAGGAAGATTATTCGGAAGCAATGGTTAGCGCATACAAAGTAACGAAATAATAAATGAGCTCATAGCAAAGAAGTTGTATATGATTTAATTTTAATAAGGAATAAAATATAAATTGATATGATTATTTCGCACCTCATGGCTGTCCATGCCGGGGACGTGAGGGGGGCAGGGGAGGGAGGACTGAGAGTGGGGGGGTGCGGGGGGCCAGCACAGCACCTGGTCCCAGGCGCGCTTGCAACCTGCAACACAAATTCCAGTTGAATTTTTTGACAGTAAAACAATCTTTCATTTATTCATACTTCCAATTTCGGTCTGAATTATTTATACTTCCAATTTGAGTCTGAATTATTTTTATACTTCCAATTTGAGCTTGCAACCTGCAACACAAGTCCCAGTTGAATTCCTTGACAGTAAAACCTTTCATTTATTTATACTTCCAATTTGAGTCTGAATTATTTATACTTCCAATTTGAGTCTGAATTATTTATACTTCCAATTTGAGTCTGAATTATTTATACTTTCAATTTGAGTTTGCAACCTGCAACACAAGTCCCAGCTGAATTTTTTGACAGTAAAACAATCTTTCATTTATTTATACTTCCAGTTTGAGTCTGAACATGACTAAAAAAACGCGAAACAACGTTAACATGAAATTTTAAATAAATTTCACTAATGTAAATAGCCTCCCCAAAGTCAAAACCCTTTGATGGAAGACGAACGTTAGAGACATCAATATGAGAACAAGAAATTTCGCAATAAATGAAAAACAGCTAGCTAGCATAAAAATATATAATATATTGAAACTTAGTTTTGGGGTAACGACCAAGAAAATTAACAAATAAATAAAAAACGCACAATATAATGCAGCAACAAACCACCATACCTCGATAAATGAAAACAGCTAACTAGCATAAATGTATACAATGAATTGAACCTTTTTTTGGGTAAAGACCAAACAAATAGATAAATAAATAAATAATAGAAAATCGTGCAGTAACAAACCATGGTCACCATACATCGATAAATGAAAAACAGCTAACTAGCATAAATGTATACAATGAATTGAACCTTTGTATTGGGTAAGGGCCAAACAAAAAGATAAATAAATAAGTAAATAATAGAAAATGATGCAGTAACAAACCATGGTCACCATAGCTCGCCAGTACAAATTAACAGATAAGTAAAAAACACAAAATGACGCAGCAACAAACCACCATACCTCGCCAGTGAGGCTGGTCTGTCTTGGCCGCCTCCTCGCACTGGGCCTTGTGGAGAGCCATGAGCGCCAACAGCCGCTCCCGCTGGGCGGCCACCGCGTTCTCGTACACAACTTCCTTCACCACCACCGAGTCCGTGAGGTCTCCATGCGGCACTGAGCCATCGTCGTCAATCTCCAAAGACTCGTCTTCGTACTCATTCTCAATCTCCGGAATGTCACCTAAGATATCGGGTAGAATGTCGTAATTTTCGTCGTTGCCGGACGGAGTCGAACCCGAATTGTCAAGATCTTCGTTGATGACGTAACTTTGAATAGCTGTGAGCTCTTGAATTTCGCTTGCTTTCTGCGACGCAGGTCGAGTTAAATTTGAAATAAACGATGACGAGTAGCCATTTTCGGGTTGATTAACTTCAAATTTAGAAGTCATGCGGGCATTGATGGATTCAAAATTAAAATCACTGCGTGATCGCATAACCGATTCGTAATCATCAAGCGCACTCGATAGAGAGTAATTATAATTACCTAATACTGGTTTACTATCACTACGTGGATTCGAAACTATATCATTCCGGATATCATCGAGGGTAGCCTCCTTGGAATCTGGTGAGGTTTTACCTTTTAGTGAATCATGTCCTTGAAATCCTGTCACTTCCGGTTCATCTTTCCAAATGATTGATTGAGCCGGGAAATTTTTTTCAGGAGTTGAGGACAAATACTGAATTTTTCCTTGTTTAGAACCAGAGGGCCTTTGACTAGGTATTAAATTACCATCTATCTTAGTTCTTCCATCTTTTGGATCATTTTCTAAAAATTTCGGTGCAGCAATTCTAGAGGACACTTTTTGATAAGGTAACTCATCATTCAAGATACTGACTGCAGATGCGTTCTTGGATCGAATGGACGCTTTGGTATTGGGTTTGACGTGAAATATTGTCATGCGTGTGTCATGGTTTTTGGAAATTCGATTGTCCGTATTTAATTTAGAAATAAATTGTATTTCAGAAAAGTTTTTTCGAGTGTTTTCCACATATGTGGATGAAATCTTCTCGGATTTTGTGGGAATTGGTATGGGTGGTTTTGAGTTTGCCTCTACATCATTGTTTGCAATTAGCACTTTTGCATTCAATAAATTATTCGAACGTTCATTTTTATATAACACTGAAATGTTGGCGTTGTCGTAATCAGTTAATGTATTTTCCTTACCAGGATTAAAAATTATACCTGAGGACTGAAAAGAACTGAATGGTCCCGGCACGTTAATTGAAACCTCACTTTTATTAAAAACAGTAACCTTTTCTTTCTTAAATTCATCATTTATCAAATTAGAGTTCGAATAAATATTATCGGAATTCTTCACAAAAATCGTCTTATGTGAAGAATCACTGTGATTTTCATTATTAAATTTATCATTTACTTCAACGAATTTTGATTGTTCCGTGTGCAGTTGCTTCAGGTATCGCAATAAAGACGTTTCGAATTTTTTGGCGTCATATTTATCAGGTTGAATTGCCTTCTTTGGGTGTTTAGAAGGCGCCAACGGTAACAAATGCGGAGAAGTGTAAGGTGAACTCTTTTTCCTGTGTCTAGGAGATTTGGAATTCGGAACAGGAGCTGGGTTTTGGCTAGTCTTTGTAGAGGAATATTGATCCTGAAACTGTTTGCTTGTTTTCTGTGGAAAATGTGTCGTCTCACTCTGTGGATTTTGCACAACTCCCGGCTGCACCTGTAGAAAGAAAATATAGATATCCATAGTACATTTTTTAAATTATTCATGAAAAGCTATAATATATTAACAAAAGAGCACAATTATGAACTAAATCATGAGATAACATTTTAAAATAAGTGAGAGTTTTCAAAAAAGAACTGCAGGCGCAAGTTTCGCTTCTATACATCTGAGTCGATACAATGTCAAAACAACCAAAATTAGGATGAAATGAGGTATGAAGCCGAAATGCATTATTTGATGCAGATACTTTAAAATTAGGTAAACGGAACGAAAACTACCTGCGTTCAACATAAACCTGATACACATCTAAACAATCTTTTTTATACACATCTAAGTAATCTCTCGTTCAAAACCTGCAGAGATAATTCGAGAAGCCTTTAAGACATCACGCTCTGAGCAATTCATGTACAAAACATACGTTTTTAAACTCTGAAATTCATCGATTCATTAATAAAGGGTATCGACATATGTATTGAAAAATATAATGTTTATGTATACAATATCATAAAAAAATGCGCCCTTAAGATTTGACAATGCAATAAATTTCATTGCACTGCAGGTGACAGTAGTAACCTCATAGTGGCCAGTTAGACGGTGAATTGGAGACTTCGAATGCCTGTGCTTGAATTTTCTACTGCATGAACGTCATTATTAATTAGTAGGTTTAAGCTCCAGTGGAAATGTAAATACATATTTATTATATATTTACGGGAGTAAATATGTATTATGTAAGTTTCAACATGACTAACGTCCATTATATCCTATAATAAAATTACAATATCATAACTACATTATAAAATAGATTATATAATAATAAAAAATATATAAAATTATGAAAAACATGAAACCATATTAACAACGACAATGTTAGAATATCGTTCGTAAGGCATTGAAGGAATTTCAGTGAAAATAATGTAAATTTAGATTACTTAAAGAATGCATAGATAGTATTTTCAAAATTTAATGAAAGTTTCCCTAAAACAGCAAAGAGCAAAGGAAGTCCAGGCTTGCTTACGTTCTTAGAAGGTAGCGAATATATTATCAACCATGTTAAGCAATTTAATTAAAAAGATATATAAGGAAATATTTTAAATTACCAACGTTTTCCATACATCAAAAAAATATTGTTTGACGAATAATAAAAACGAATAATTTAAATAAAATGTTAGAGGTCATAATATGAACTTGTTGATAACCAACGACTTCACTTGAAAAAAAATTCATCAAATCTTTTCGAGATTTTAAAGATCTCTGAGAGATCACAGAGATTTTCTATTTCTCCATGCAATGATGTTCATGCTACTCCTTGTGATGGTTGTTCATGCTACTCCTTGTGATGGTTGCTCATGCTACTCCTTGTGATGGTTGTTCATGCTACTCCTTGTGATGATTGTTCATGCTACTCCTTGTGATGGTTGTTCATGCTACTCCTTGTGATGGTTGTTCATGCTACTCCCTGTGATGGTTGTTCATGTTACTCCTTGTGATGGTTGTTCATGTGATGGTTGTTCATGTGATGGTTGTTCATGTGATGGTTGTTCATGCTACTGCTTGTCGTGATGGTCTATCTTCGTCTACATAGTTTTTGTATCTTCCAAACTCGTCTAATTTTTTCAGTACACAAAATATCGGACAGTTTATATTTGATTTATTATATTATACTAAATAATTGATTATTTCATTCAATTATACTAAAATAATACTTTATTATAATCACTTGTGTCTTATACAATAATTAATTCAAAGTGAATGATTCAAAGTAGAGTTTATATTTGATTTATAGAATATTATACTAAATAATTGATTGATTCATTCGATTATACTAAAATAATACTTTATTATATTCATGTATATAATAATTCAAATAAATATTTATTCATTTCACAATAATTTCGCACCTCATTGCTGGGAGCGGCGGCCTCGGCATCGCTGGCCCGCAGGACGCAAGTCATCAGCAACATCTGCACAATAATGCATCAATTTATTTCATGATCCTCATCCTGTAGGCATGAACAAAATAACAAATATTATTGTTTTGAAGTTGAGCAAAGGCAACATTAAAAAAAACTTTAGTCGGTAACCAGAAAATTTCAGTCTTCTAATTAATGGAATGGAAAGCGCTTACCAATTCCTTCCTCTCGGCTATATATTTAATAACTGGACAATTGGCCTGTCTAACTCTCTGGGATTTTATGCGCAAAATGTATAGTTTAAAAAAACGCATAGGGGTGGCTACAGCTTGTAAATTCCTAAAAGGCCCGACTTTCTTATTCTTCGTATCAGCAATAACCAATTTGAGTTGTGAACAAATATTATAACAACGACAGCTCGGTTGTTAAGATCCTAACACGAAAAAAATAACTATTTATAAAAGCGCAGCTGATAGATGTAACGTAAGCTACCTTAATGACTATGGCTTTACGTAAAAAACGAAAAAAAATAATGGTCAAAGCAAAGCCTACTTCCCAACACTTGATACGATCCAGAGTGCTGGTGAAAGATATCAATAGACTTGCATTTTTGTGTGTCGAATACAAAAACAAAATTATAGTGACTTGTTTTACGAGGAGATAGAACGCAAGCACAAGGCATGAGCAACTGATCATACACTCCGGAGACCTGGGTAAAATCCAATCGCTGTTTATTTCACCATCAGTTTTGAGAGGATCGGGTCAGAAGGCCAGTTTTTAGATCTACTATGAATAAGTCACAAAAATAACGAGAATCGGCCATGGGCCAAACGTGGCTTGTTTATTCGCGCCAAGTCTATTATACTATGAGGGAAGAAATGCGTATGTTATTAAAGAAGTTGATGTGACCAATATTAGCTAGTGGCGCCAAAATATGCTTAAAAGCGCACATATAAATATTTTCGATCTTCATACCGCTATTCGATGGCCCATTCACATAAATTTGAAACAGGGGCCATGCTTTCAAAACTCGCTAAGTTTACGTAAGTACTTGCGCTCTATTTTCTTGTCTACGATTGGTGGATTTTGCTTGAAAGGCCGTCAATGATTGGCTAATGAACTTACGATCTCTTCACTCTTTCTGAAAGTATGGCCTCAGACAAATAAGAAGACCGTCGCTACTAAATTCAGCGGTAGTTGAACAATGACGCGCAATCGCGTCACTATAATGACCATAGTAATCCCCACCACAACAAGGTTCCAATGCATGATTATAATGTAGCGGGTGCAATTCTATAAGTAACCTCAGGCCTCTTATTCGTTGACATATTCTTGGCATGTGATTTATTATTTGGTATATTCTTGGCATGTTCTGGTTTATTATTTGGTATATCTTTGGCATGTTCTGATTTATTATTTGGTATATTCTTGGCAAGTTCTGATTTATTAGTGGCAAATTTTTGGCATGTTCTGATTTATTATTTGGTATATTCTTGGCAAGTTCTGATTTATTAGTGGCAAATTTTTGGCATGTTCTGATTTATTATTTGGAACATTCATGGCACGTTCTGATTTATTAGTGGCATATTCTTGGCATGTTCTGGTTTATTAGTGGCATATTATAGGCATGTTCTGATTTATTAGTGACATATTCTTGGCATGTTCTGATTTATTAGTGGCATATTTTTGGCATGTTCCGATTGGCACAGGCGTTATAAGTTATAAAAGCACAATTAACATTTGCTTGACAAAATTTTAACAGAGGCTTTTCTTATTGCATTTTTACGGCGAAAAAATCATGATATTACCAAACTGCATTAATTGCACATTAAACTTATGTGCCTAAGTAATACCTAAAAATTGGCGTTATACTGTTGGAATGAGGGGTAGTGAAATAATTTATATATCTGTAATGCGAGAATTTTTTAAAAATAAGACCATAAGCTTGCTTGGTTGACTCACGTAAAGGCCTGACCTGAGGTCCCATGCAACGCTCCAATTACAATCCCAGCCAGTGAAGGGAATGTGAAGAAATTATAATTCAATATTATGATACAATACAATAGTTATTTATAATGTATTATAATAATTATTTATAATAATAAATAGTAATAATAATTATTTCTTAATAAATAATTATGACAATAATCATATATATTGTTTTTTCTCAAGTGAATGACGTATACAATGCAAATAGCGAAAACTGCTATTTCACGAAATCTATTAGCTTTGGATTATATATATTTCTCCATCTGTCTCGTCCGCGATATGTTTGTACTCCGAACCTTAACAGGAAGAATCATGAATTTATTAATTAAAAAAATTTAGTTCTCCCTGTACATTCACAATAATCAGTTTAAAATGAAGCTTTTTAAATTAATAGATTATATTTAGTCGAATTCTTTGGCTGAAAACAACTCCATAATGATGATGGAAGATTATTTGATCTCTTAATTTCTAACTAAAGATAAAAAAATAATAATTCTCTTATTTTGTAATAACTTTTTACAGATAGTCTTTATTTTAAAAACTCTATTTTAGGGTAGCATGGCCAGTCGCAACCTACTTAACCGAAACCATGAATTAACCTCCATTGAATCAATATAATAGCATCGTAAACTACTTCTAAAACAGGCAAGGATCGTAATCAGTATTCAAGTATTTTAGACTGAGGAAGAACGTCTTATTCGTAAATCTTATTTGTACCCTAAACATGGGGCTTTCTATTAGTAATAAAAAACTCTTTAATGTAAGAGATGCTAGAGAAGTACAATATGCGTAAACTTACATATCACGAACTAAATCGCAAAACAAGGAAATACACTGTATCGTTAATCAGTGTGCCATGGAAATGCACTTTACCGAAGCCGCGAACATTGAAACCTGACAAATTTTGAAACCTGAAAATTTTACCAAAACTGTTCATAAATAAGAAAATCTTCGATGAATTATCAGGTGACGATGTCATTTTCCAGCAACGAGAACCAGGCATGAAGAAGTCCCGGTGCAAACAAAACTTTTAGGCTGCCTTCGTTGGTCAATATCGCCATAAAAAAGCTGTAAAATAGTAAATTTACTTGGAAAAAATATTAAACTGACATATAATAGCGCAAAATCTGGTTTCGTCAAAACCATGAATTTCTTAGCCATAGTTCAAATGTTTTTTTTTATCGCTTCGATCTTTTCAACGACGCGTTGAGAATAAATTCATTATAAAACTTTTCGAACATCGTTCATCAGTTGGAGCAATTTCATTCCATGTGATCAAATTTCCACCAGCTCCTAGAAATTCATCTACTCTCTCAATGTTTGGCCATTGTAACGGCTAATGTAGCGGCGCTACATTTTACTGTAGCGGTAGCGCCCGCTACAATCTAGTGGGTGTAGCGGTAGTTTTAAAGTAACCATTCGGGTAGAACTTAGAATTATAAAATTTTTGATCCATTTAACCATAAATACCTTATTTTATTGCAAAAATGTTTTATAGTTACCATATAAATTTGTTCTTTTGCTCCTGAAAACTATAATTTTTACGAGAGATGTAATTTAGCTATATATACAGAAGCTTGGATACGTGACTTTAAACGTCTCCAATCTACAAAACAGCCAAAGAACCGGATAACAACGGAACATACACAAACAGACAAAGAACTGGATAACAACGGAACATACACAAACAGCCAAAGAACTGGATAACAACGGAACATACACAAACAGACAAAGAACTGGATAACAACGAAACATACAGAAGCACACACTATCGAAGACGAAGAAATACATGCGTTCGTAAATTGAATGGGGGATGGGGAAGAGATGGAGGAAGAGGGGGTGGGAGTGGACTCGAGAGATTAAGATTCAACTCGTCATTAAGCTCTGCAATTAGTTGATGAAAACATTCACTTGCAACATCGTACTCGATATATCTTAGGCGGAGAGTAAAACGAATAGCTATTATTTATCGAAGAATGCTTGAAATTATTTGCAAGAAATTGATCTTAATTCTTATAGAATTCAACAACACGTGTATTATCTATAGAAGGTTGTCTATATTTGGAAGTTGTAATTGTCTATAGAAGAATTGTCTTTCATAAGATTTTTGAAACGCTCCAGGCCACGTAAAAAACACAAGACACCAAAAATAACGATAATAAAATGCCACATTTGACTATTTTTTGTAACTATTTAGTTAACCATTAAATACTCGGTATAGGAAAATTGTTGTTTTACTAAGATAGAGTTTATACTTTTCCCAAATAATGCTAAAGCTTCCATAGCAATTGATAATTTCAAAACAAAAGAGAAGGCTAAACAAATGTAGAGTTATACACACATGCCATGTTTTTACTTCTATTGTGCGTCAGTTTACTCGCCACCACGGTAAGATGAAACAAGCCCCTTTTGTTTTAAAATTATTGTATCGTTAATCGGAAAAATCGGAAATTATTGTATCGTTTTTTAGGAAAAATATAAACTCTACCTTAGTTTAACAACAATTAATCGAGGTAACTCGATCGTGATGCTTTAACACAGTTTGTTTTTAATCAAAAACTAACTCACTATATCCACCATTGACAAATTTTTAATTTAAAAAATGGAAATCGTACAATTATTTTATTAGTAGTTATTATTGTATTGTAGCCTATAGTATTTCGAGTAATTAGTTAAAGTTCAGTAATTAGCAAGCGATCGTGAGCAAATTGGAAACATATGTTTAAAAGGAGCTTATGATACACGAGACAAGTTCTTAAACCAATTGAAAATCCAAAATTTATGCTGGCAATTCTTTTATTTTAGAAATTACACCACCTACTGACAATTTCGGCTACATTTCGGAACGTTGTAACGAGGTGCAATATATACAATTCTATGGCCATACAAACAAAAATATCTACAATATTTTGGCACCTACAATACAACGCCATTACAAGTCTATATTTATAAAAGTTTTGTTATTGATTCGTGCTAAATATTTACTAAATAAGTACGACGTACGGTCAAGTTTTCTTATATATAAACCCGTTAAAAACTTCAAACATCAATCGGCATACGAA